TGTGAGTCTATGAGTCTCTATGTGAGTCTATGAATCTCTGTGTTAGTCTATGAGTCTCTTTGTGAGTCTATGAGTCTATGTGTGAGTCTATGAGTCTCTGTGTGAGTCTCGATGTGAGTCTATGAGTCTCTGTGTGAGTCTATGTGTGAGTCAATGAGTCTCTGTGTGAGTCTCTGTGTGCGTCTATGTCTCTGTGTGAGTCTATAAGACTCTGTGTGAGTCTATGAGTCTCTGTGTGAGCATATGGCTGTGTGAGTCTATGGCTGTGTGAGTCTATGAGTCTCTGTGTGAGTCTATGAGTCTCTGTGTGAGTCTATGGGTCTCTGTGTGAGTTTATGGCTCTGTGAGTCTATGAGTCTCTGTGTGAGTCTGAATCTCTGTGTGAGTCTATGAGTCTCTGTGTGAGTCTCGATGTGAGTCTATGAGTCTCTGTGTAAGTCTCTGTGTGAGTCTATGGGTCTCTGTGTGAGTTTATGGCTCTGTGAGTCTATGAGTCTCTGTGTGAGTCTGAATCTCTGTGTGAGTCTATGAGTCTCTGTGTGAGTCTCGATGTGAGTCTATGAGTCTCTGTGTGAGTCTCTGTGTGAGTCAATGAGTCTCTGTGTGAGTCTCTGTGTGCGTCTATGTCTCTGTGTGAGTCTATAAGACTCTGTGTGAGTCTATGAGTCTCTGTGTGAGCATATGGCTGTGTGAGTCTATGGCTGTGTGAGTCTATGAGTCTCTGTGTGAGTCTATGAGTCTCTGTGTGAGTCTGAATCTCTGTGTGAGTCTAGGAGCCTCTCTGTGAGTCTCTGTGTGAGTCTATGAGTCTCTGTGTGAGTCTCTGAGTCTCTGTATAAGTCTATGAGTCTCTGTCTGAGTCTATGAGTCTGTGAGTCTGAGGCTCTGTGTGAGTCTAGGAGTCTCTGTGTGAGTTTATGGCTGTGTGAGTCTATGAGTCTCTGTGTGAGTCTATGAGACTCTGTTTGAGTCTGAGTCTCTGTGTGAGTCTATGAGTCTCTATGTGAGTCTATGAGACTCTGTGTGAGTCTATGAGTCTCTGTGTGAATCTGAGTTTCTGTGTGAGTCCATGTGTGAGTCTGAGTCTCTGTGTGAGTCTAGGAGTCTCTGTGTGAGTTTATGGCTGTGTGAGTCTATGAGTCTCTGTGGTGTGAGTCTATGCGTCTCTGTGTGAGTCTCTGTGGTGTGAGTCTATGAGTCTCTGTGTGAGTCTATGAGTCTCTGTGTGAGTCTCGATGTGAGTCTATGAGTCTCTGTGTGAGTCAATGAGTCTCTGTGTGAGTCTATAAGTATCTGTGTGAGTCTCTGTGGTGTGAGTCTATGAGTCTCTGTGTGAGTCTCTGAGTCTGTGAGTCTGAGTCTCTGTGTGAGTCTAGGAGTCTCTGTGTGAGTTTATGGCTGTGTGAGTCTATGGGTCTCTGTGGTGTGAGTCTATGCGTCTCTGTGTGAGTCTCTGTGGTGTGAGTCTATGAGTCTCTGTGTGAGTCTATGAGGCTCTGTGTGAGTCTCGATGTGAGTCTATGAGTCTCTGTGTGAGTCAATGAGTCTCTGTGTGAGTCTATGAGTCTCTGTGTGAGTCTCTGTGTGCGTCTATGTCTCTGTGTGAGTCTATAAGTATCTGTGTGAGTCTATGAGTCTCTGTGTGAGTCTCTGTGTGAGTCTATGAGTCTCTATGTGAGTCTATGAATCTCTTAGTTAGTCTATGAGTCTCTTTGTGAGTCTATGAGTCTATGTGTGAGTCTATGAGTCTCTGTGTGAGTCTATGAGTCTCTGTGTGAGTCTCGATGTGAGTCTATGAGTCTCTGTGTGAGTCTCTGTGTGAGTCAATGAGTCTCTGTGTGAGTCTCTGTGTGCGTCTATGTCTCTGTGTGAGTCTATAAGACTCTGTGTGAGTCTATGAGTCTCTGTGTGAGTCTATGTCTCTGTGTGTGTCTATAAGTCTCTGTGTGAGTCTATGAGCCTCTGTGTGAGTCTATGAGTCTCTATGTGAGTCTATGAGTCTCTATGTGAGTCTATGAATCTGTGTGAGTCTATGAGTCTCTGTGTGAGTCTATGAGTCTCTGTGTGAGTCGATGTGTAAGTCTATGAGTCTCTGTGTGAGTCTCTGTGGTGTGAGTCTATGAGTCTCTGTGTGAGTCTATGAGTCTCTGTGTGAGTCTCTGTGTGAGCGTATGAGTCTCTGTGTGAGTCTATGAGTCTCTGTGTGAGTCTATGGCTCTCTGTGTGAGTTTATGAGTCTCTGTGTGAGTCTATGAGTCTCTGTGTGAGTCTCTGTGTGAGTCTCTGTGGTGTGAGTCTATGAGTCTCTGTGTGAGTCTCTGTGTGAGTCTACGAGTCTCTGTGTGAGTCTCTGTGGTGTGAGTCTATGAGTCTCTGTGTGAGTCTATGAGTCTCTGTGTGAGTCTATGAGTCTCTGTGTGAGTCTATGAGCCTCTGTGTGAGTCTATGAGTCTCTGTATAAGTCTATGATTCTCTGTCTGAGTCTATGAGTCTGTGAGTCTGATTCTCTGTGTGAGTCTAGGAGTCTCTGTGTGAGTTTATGGCTGTGTGAGTCTATGAGTCTCTGTGTGAGTCTATGAGACTCTGTTTGAGTCTGAGTTTCTGTGTGAGTCCCTGTGTGAGTCTGAGTCTCTGTGTGAGTCTATGAGTCTCTGTGTGAGTCTATGAGTCTCTATGCGAGTCTACGAGTCTCAGTGTGAGTCTATGAGTCTCTGTGGTGTGAGTCTATGAGTCTATCTGTATGAGTCTCTGTGTGAGTCTCTGTGGTGTGAGTCTATGAGTCTATCTGTATGAGTCTCTGTGTGAGTCTCTGTGGTGTGAGTCTATGAGTCTCTGTGTGAGTCTCTGTGTGAGTCTACGAGTCTCTGTATAAGTCTATGAGTCTCTGTGGTGTGAGTCTATGAGTCTCTGTGGTGTGAGTCTATGAGTCTATGAGTCTCTGTGGTGTGAGTCTATGGCCCTCGAGGCCCCCGTGTGTAGTGACCCCGCCCCCCACTCCCCCAGCGGCACCGACTCAGCAGAGACATTTCCGTGAAAGACAAAGGTGACGCAGCCTGAGCCCCTCGGGGTGGGGGTGGGGGGGGGTGGTGGGGGGGAGTCGCCGTGGGGAAAAATTCCGAACGCGATTAGTGGGGGGGGGGGGTGGGGGAGGGGGCGAGCGCCCTCGGCACACACAGACACACAGACACACCTACACACACAGACACACAGACACACCTACACACACAGACACACAGACACACCTACACACACAGACACACAGACACACCTACACACACAGACACACAGACACACCTACACACACAGACACACACACACCTACACACACACCACACAGACACAGACACACAGACACACCTACACACACACACACCACACACACACTACACACACACACACACCTACACACATACATACACACATACACACCACACACACACACCACACACACACGATCCCCGCTCGCGGGTCAAACCAAATACCTCCCCCCGGGTCGACTCAGCCTCAAGTGAACAACTCGGTGCGGCGGCGGTGGTGGTAAAAGCATCGCCGCTCGGGGGAGACAAAGGCGGCCGGGCGGGGGTTTGTGGCGGCCTCAGCAGCACCCCCTCGTGTGGTCTATCCCGGCTGACACTGCTGCTGCTGCTGCTCGCTAACAGCACTTGCCCCAACAGTCTGTTCAGGCTACACGGGGGATCTTTGTCTTTGTTTTTTAGGATGGCCTGGCACCCATGCGCCCCCCACTACCCCCCCTCCCACTACCCCCCCACTTCCCCCCACCCCACCCACCGCTCCTAGCGCTACCGGTGACATCATAACCAGGGCAGATGATGAGGATGAGACGTCTAAACCCACGTCTCTTTGTCCAACAACCAGACACGCCTCTCGCACCCCCCCTGCCCCCCCCTGCACCCCCCTGCCCCCCCCCTGCCCCCCCTGCACCCCCCCGCACCCCCCCCTGCCCCCCCTCCCCCATTCCACGGCCCCGCAATATCTTACAGGAACTGATCCAACGAGGTCCTCCGAGAGTGGGTGGGTGGGTGAGTGGGTGAGTGAGTGGGTGGGTGAGTGAGTGAGTGGGTGAGTGATGGGTGAGTGAGTGGGTGGGTGAGTGAGTGGGTGGGTGAGTGAGTGGGTGGGTGAGTGGGTGAGTGAGTGGGTGGGTGGGTGGGTGAGTGGGTGGGTGAGTGATGGGTGAGTGGGTGAGTGGGTGAGTGAGTGGGTGTGTGAGTGGGTGAGTGAGTGAGTGGGTGGGTGAGTGAGTGGGTGAGTGGGTGGGTGAGTGGGTGGCTGAGTGAGTGAGTGGGTGAGTGAGTGGGTGGGTGAGTGAGTGAGTGGGTGGGTGAGTGGGTGGGTGGGTGAGTGATGGGTGAGTGGGTGGGTGAGTGGTTGGGTGAGTGGGTGGGTGGGTGAGTGATGGGTGAGTGGGTGGGTGAGTGAGTGGGTGAGTGAGAGAGTGGGTTGGTGAGTGGGTGGGTGAGTGGGTAGGTGGGTGAGTGATGGGGGAGTGGGTGGGTGAGTGGGTGGGTGAGTGAGAGAGTGGCTGGGTGAGTGGGTGTTGTGAGTGGGTGGGTGAGTGGGTGGGTGAGTGAGTGAGTGAGTGGTGAGTGGGTGAGTGAGTGAGTGGGTGAGTGGGTGTTGTGAGTGGGTGGGTGAGTGAGTGGGTGAGTGAGTGAGTGAGTGGGTGAGTGAGTGAGTGGGTGAGTGAGTGAGTGAGTGGGTGAGTGAGTGGGTGAGTGAGTGGGTGAGTGAGTGAGTGAGTGGGTGAGTGAGTGAGTGAGTGGGTGAGTGGGTGAGTGAGTGAGTGAGTGGTGAGTGAGTAAGTGAGTGAGTGGGTGAGTGAGTGAGACAACCCCTCCCTCCTCGTTGGTGCCGGACAGTAACCTACGGACGTGCTCGCTGCATCGCGACCTTGCGACCTCTACCCCCCGTGACATTGCCCCTGTGACCTTGACCCCCCCACGCGACCTTGACCCCGTGACCCCTGGCGAGCGACGCACCGGTTCTGGTTGACCTTGTTCCCGTCCTCGTTACGTGAGTGGAAGATCATGGTGTAGCGTGCAACCGCAGCCGGCGGACGGAAGATCGTCATGTTCATGTGCTCCACCCTGGCCCGGCGGGGAAGGGGTGGACAACCGGGGAGGGTGGACAACCGGGGAGGGTGGACAACCGGGGAGGGGGAGACGGGCGGAGACACGGGAGGGAGACAGAGATCGTCATGGTCGTGTGCTCCACCCTACCGGAGGGTGAAGGCCAATGGGGGGTGGGTAATGGGGGTGGACAACCGGGGGGGTGGACAATCGGGGGTGCACAACAAGGGGGGTGGACAATCGGGTGGTGGACAACCGGGGGGGTGGACAATCGGGGGGTGGACAACCGGGGGTGGACAACCGGGTGGTGGACAACCGGGGGGGTGGACAACCGGGGGGTGGGCAACCGGGGGGGTGGACAATCGGGGGTGCACAACAAGGGGGGTGGACAACCGGGTGGTGGACAACCGGGGGTGGACAACCGGGGGAGGTCCCATCGCGGAGGGGCCCCATCGCGGAGGGGCCCCATCGCGGAGGGGCCCCATCGCGGAGGGGCCCCATCGCGGAGGGGCCCCAGCGCAGAGGGGCCCCATCGCGGAGGGGCCCCAGTGCGGAGGGGCCCCAGCGCGGAGCCGCACCTGAGGCGGAGGTCGTCGTCCTCCCCCCCCCAGCCCCAGAAGCGGTTGGAGAAGCCATTGACGCGCCGGAACTGCTCCACCGTCATCGCGGAGACCCCGCCAAAGTAGCCCTTGTAGCGTAGCCTGGACACACACACACACAGTCACACACACAGTCACACACACACACAGTCACACAGCACACACACAGTCACACAGCACACACACACACAGCACACACACAGTACACACACAGTCACACACAGCACACACACAGTCCACACACAGTACACACAGCACACACACAGTACACACACAGTACACACACAGCACACACAGTCACACACACAGTCACACACAGCACACACACAGTCACACAGTCACACACACAGTCACACAGTCACACACACACACAGTCACACAGTCACACAGCACACACACAGTACACACACAGCACACACAGTCACACAGTCACACACACAGCACACACACAGCACACACAGTCACACACAGTCACACAGCACACACAGTACACACACACAGCACATACACAGTACACACACACAGTCACAGTCACACAGCACACACACAGTACACACACACAGCACACACAGTCACACACAGGCAGACACACACACACAGTCACACACAGCACACACAGCACACACAGTCACACACAGTCACACAGCACAGCACACACACACAGTCACAGTCACACAGCACACACACAGTACACACAGCACACACACAGTACACACACACAGCACACACACACAGTCACACACACAGCACACACACACAGTCACACACACAGCACACACACAGTACACACACACAGCACACACACACCACACACACACAGCACACACACACAGTCACACACACAGCACACACAGCACACACACAGCACACACAGTCACACACAGTCACACACAGTCAGACACACACACACAGTCACACACAGCACACACACAGCACACACACAGCACACACAGTCACACACACACACACAGTCACACACAGCACACAGCACACACAGTCACACAGCACACACAGTCACACACAGTCACACACAGCACACACAGCACACACACAGCACACACAGTCACACACAGTCACACACAGCACACACACAGTCACACACAGTCACACACAGCACACACACAGCACACACAGTCACACACAGTCACACACAGCACACACAGTCACACACAGCACACACAGTACACACAGCACACACAGTCACACACAGTCACACACAGCACACAGCACACACAGTCACACAGCACACACAGTCACACACAGTCACACACAGCACACACAGCACACACACAGCACACACAGCACACACAGTCACACACAGTCACACACAGCACACACAGTCACACACAGCACACACAGTCACACACAGCACACACAGTACACACAGCACACACAGTCACACACAGTCACACACAGCACACACAGTCACACAGCACACACAGTCACACACAGTCACACACAGCACACACAGCACACACACAGTCACACACAGCCACACAGCACACACAGTCACACACAGCACACACAGTCACACACAGTCACACACAGTCACACAGCACACACAGTCACACACAGTCACACACAGTCACACACAGCACACAGCACACACAGTCACACACAGCACACACAGTACACACAGTCACACACAGCACACACAGTCACACACAGTCACACACAGCACACACAGTCACACAGCACACACAGTCACACACAGTCACACACAGCACACACAGCACACACAGTCACACAGCACACACAGTCACACACAGTCACACACAGCACACACAGCACACACACAGTCACACACAGCCACACAGCACACACAGTCACACACAGTCACACACAGTCACACACAGTCACACACAGCACACACAGTCACACACAGCACACACACAGCACACACACAGCACACAGTCACACACAGTCACACACAGCACACACAGCACACACAGTCACACACAGTCACACACAGTCACACACAGCACACACAGTCACACACAGCACACACAGTCACACACAGTCACACACAGCACACACAGTCACACACAGTCACACACAGTCACACACAGCACACACAGCACACACAGTCACACACAGCACACACACAGTCACACACAGTCACACACAGCACACACAGTCACACACAGTCACACACAGTCACACAGCACACACAGTCACACACAGTCACACACAGTCACACACAGCACACAGCACACACAGTCACACACAGCACACACAGCACACACAGTCACACACAGCACACACAGTCACACACAGTCACACACAGTCACACACAGTCACACACAGTCACACACAGCACACACAGTCACACACAGTCACACACAGCACACACACAGCACACACAGTCACACACAGTCACACACAGCACACACAGCACACACAGTCACACACAGTCACACACAGTCACACACAGCACACACAGTCACACACAGCACACACAGTCACACACAGTCACACACAGCACACACAGTCACACACAGTCACACACAGTCACACACAGCACACACAGCACACACAGTCACACACAGCACACACACAGTCACACACAGTCACACACAGCACACACAGTCACACACAGTCACACACAGCACACACAGTCACACACAGTCACACACAGTCACACACAGCACACAGCACACACAGTCACACACAGCACACACAGCACACACAGTCACACACAGCACACACAGTCACACACAGTCACACACAGTCACACACAGTCACACACAGTCACACACAGCACACACAGTCACACACAGTCACACACAGCACACACAGTTACACACAGCACGTCGTCACGGTGCGGGGCAGAGGAGCTGCTGGGGGTGGGGGTGGGGGTGGTGGCGGTGGTGGCGGTGGTGTTGGTGGTGGTGGTGTTGGTAGTGGTGGTAGTGATGGCGGTGGCGGTGGTTGTGGCGGTGGTGGTGGCAGTCTGTCGTCTAATCTCCATCTGTTCCACACTCCCCATCAAGCTCAACCACCCTGGGTGGCTGGCTGGGAGGGTGGCTGGGAGGGTGGCTGGGTGGGTGGGTGGTGGGTGGGTGGTGGGTGGGTGGTTGGGAGGGTGGCTGGGAGGGTGGGTGGTGGGTGGCTGGGTGGGTGGGTGGTGGGTGGGTGGTGGGTGGGTGGTTGGGAGGGTGGCTGGGAGGGTGGCTGGGAGGGTGGCTGGGTGGGTGGGTGGTGGGTGGGTGGTGGGTGGGTGGTTGGGAGGGTGGCTGGGTGGGTGGGTGGTGGGTGGCTGGGTGGGTTACTGTGTAGCTGGGTGGGTGGGTGGGTGGCTGGGTGGGTGGCTGGGTGGGTTACTGTGTAGCTGGGTGGGTGGGTGGGAGGGTGGCTGGGTGGCTGGGTGGTTGGGAGGGTGGGTGGGTGGCTGGGAGGGTGGCTGGGAGGGTGGGTGGGTGGGTGGCTGGGTGGGTTACTGTGTAGCTGGGTGGGTGGGTGGGAGGGTGGCTGGGTGGCTGGGTGGTTGGGAGGGTGGGTGGGTGGCTGGGAGGGTGGCTGGGAGGGTGGGTGGGTGGGTGGCTGGGTGGGTTACTGTGTAGCTAGGTGGGTGGCTGGGCGTGTAGCTGTGTGGGTGGCTGGGTGGGTGGGTGGCTGGGTGGGTGGCTGGGTGGGTTACTGTGTAGCTGGGTGGGTGGGTGGGAGGGTGGCTGGGTGGGTGGGTGGTTGGGAGGGTGGGTGGGTGGCTGGGAGGGTGGCTGGGAGGGGGGGTGGGTGGGTGGCTGGGTGGGTTACTGTGTAGCTGGGTGGGTGGGTGGGAGGGTGGCTGGGTGGCTGGGTGGGTGGGTGGCTGGGTGGGTTACTGTGTAGCTGGGTGGGTGGCTGGGAGGGTGGCTGGGTGGCTGGGAGGGTGGGTGGCTGGGTGGGTTACTGTGTAGCTGGGTGGGTTACTGTGTAGGTGGGTGGGTGGCTGGGAGGGTGGCTGGGTGGCTGGGAGGGTGGGTGGCTGGGTGGGTTACTGTGTAGCTGGGTGGGTTACTGTGTAGCTGGGTGGGTGGCTGGGAGGGTGGCTGGGTGGCTGGGAGGGTGGGTGGCTGGGTGGGTTACTGTGTAGCTGGGTGGGTTACTGTGTAGCTGGGTGGGTGGCTGGGAGGGTGGCTGGGTGGCTGGGTGGGTAGCTGGGTGGGTTACTGTGTAGCTGGGTGGGTGGCTGGGAGGGTGGCTGGGTGGCTGAGTGGGTAGCTGGGTGGGTTACTGTGTAGCTGGGTGGGTGGCTGGGTGGGTGGCTGGGTGGCTGGGTGGGTAGCTGGGTGGGTTACTGTGTAGCTGGGTGGGTGGCTGGGAGGGTGGCTGGGTGGCTGGGTGGGTAGCTGGGTGGGTGGCTGTGTAGCTGGGTGGGTGGCTGGGTGGCTGGGTGGCTGGGTGGGTAGCTGGGTGGGTTACTGTGTAGCTGGGTGGGTGGCTGGGAGGGTGGCTGGGTGGGTAGCTGGGTGGGTGGCTGTGTAGCTGGGTGGGTGGCTGGGAGGGTGGCTGGGTGGCTGGGTGGGTAGCTGGGTGGGTGGCTGGGTGGCTGGGTGGCTGGGTGGGTAGCTGGGTGGGTTACTGTGTAGCTGGGTGGGTGGCTGGGAGGGTGGCTGGGTGGCTGGGTGGGTAGCTGGGTGGGTGGCTGTGTAGCTGGGTGGGTGGCTGGGAGGGTGGCTGGGTGGCTGGGTGGGTAGCTGGGTGGGTGGCTGTGTAGCTGGGTGGGTGGCTGGGTGGCTGGGTGGCTGGGTGGGTAGCTGGGTGGGTTACTGTGTAGCTGGGTGGGTGGCTGGGAGGGTGGCTGGGTGGCTGGGTGGGTAGCTGGGTGGGTGGCTGTGTAGCTGGGTGGGTGGCTGGGAGGGTGGCTGGGTGGCTGGGTGGGTAGCTGGGTGGGTGGCTGGGTGGCTGGGAGGGTGGCTGGGTGGCTGGGTGGGTGGCTGGGTGGGTGGCTGGGTGGCTGGGAGGGTGGCTGGGTGGCTGGGTGGGTAGCTGGGTGGGTAGCTGGGTGGGTGGCTGTGTAGCTGTGTGGGTGGTGCACTCACAGGTACTTGGTGAAGTTCCTGCCCACGACGAGGTGGCGTGGCTGGGAGGGTGACTGGGTGGGTGTGTGGGTGGCTGGGAGGGTGGCTGGGAGGGTGGCTGGGAGGGTGGCTGGGAGGGTGGCTGGGTAGGTGGCTGGGTGGGTGACTGGGTGGGTGTGTGGGTGGCTGGGTGGGTGGCTGGGAGGGTGGCTGGGAGGGTGGCTGGGAGGGTGGCTGGGTAGGTGGCTGGGTGGGTGACTGGGTGGGTGTGTGGGTGGCTGGGTGGGTGGCTGGGAGGGTGGCTGGGTGGGTGGCTGGGTGGGTGGGTGGGTGGCTGGGAGGGTGGCTGGGAGGGTGGCTGGGAGGGTGGCTGGGTAGGTGGCTGGGTGGGTGACTGGGTGGGTGTGTGGGTGGCTGGGTGGGTGGCTGGGAGGGTGGCTGGGTGGGTGGCTGGGTGGGTGGGTGGGTGGCTGGGAGGGTGGCTGGGTGGGTGACTGGGTGGGTGTGTGGGTGGCTGGGAGGGTGGCTGGGAGGGTGGCTGGGAGGGTGGCTGGGAGGGTGGCTGGGTAGGTGGCTGGGTGGGTGACTGGGTGGGTGTGTGGGTGGCTGGGTGGGTGGCTGGGAGGGTGGCTGGGAGGGTGGCTGGGAGGGTGGCTGGGTAGGTGGCTGGGTGGGTGACTGGGTGGGTGTGTGGGTGGCTGGGTGGGTGGCTGGGAGGGTGGCTGGGTGGGTGGCTGGGTGGGTGGGTGGGTGGCTGGGAGGGTGGCTGGGAGGGTGGCTGGGAGGGTGGCTGGGAGGGTGGCTGGGTAGGTGGCTGGGTGGGTGACTGGGTGGGTGTGTGGGTGGCTGGGTGGGTGGCTGGGAGGGTGGCTGGGTGGGTGGCTGGGTGGGTGGGTGGGTGGGTGGGTGGCTGGGAGGGTGGCTGGGTGGGTGGGTGGCTGGGTGGCTGGGAGGGTGGCTGGGTGGGTGGCTGGGTGGGTGGGTGGTTGGGAGGGTGGGTGGCTGGGTGGTTGGGTGGGTGGCTGGGTGGGTGGCTGGGAGGGTGACTGGGTGGGTGGGTGGCTGGGTGGGTTACTGTGTAGCTGGGTGGGTGGCTGGGTGGGTGGCTGGGTGGGTGGGTGGCTGGGAGGGTGGCTGGGTGGGTGGGTGGCTGGGTGGGTGGCTGGGAGGGTGGCTGGGTGGGTGGCTGGGTGGGTGGCTGGGTGGCTGGGAGGGTGGCTGGGTGGGTGGGTGGCTGGGTGGGTGGCTGGGTGGCTGGGAGGGTGGCTGGGAGGGTGGGTGGGTGGGTGGTTGGGTGGGTGGGTGGCTGGGTGGGTTACTGTGTAGCTGGGTGGGTGGGTGGGAGGGTGGCTGGGTGGCTGGGTGGTTGGGTGGGTGGGTGGCTGGGTGGGTTACTGTGTAGCTGTGTGGGTGGGTGGGAGGGTGGGTGGGTGGCTGGGAGGGAGGGTGGGTGGCTGGGTGGGTGGGTGGCTGGGTGGGTTACTGTGTAGCTGGGAGGGTGGGTGGGAGGGTGGCTGGGTGGCTGGGTGGTTGGGTGGGTGGGTGGCTGGGTGGGTTACTGTGTAGCTGGGTGGGTGGTTGGGCGTGTAGCTGTGAGGGTGGTGCACTCACTGGTACTTGGTGAAGTTCCTGCCCACGACGAGGTGGCGTGGCTGGGCGCCGCAGCCGTAGAAGTTGCGGTCGTCCTCCGGGATGAGGTCCACGTCGTGCAGCACCACGCAGTCCCACGGAGCCTCCGACAGCGCCTCCAGGAAGCCCACGTTGAGCAGCTTGGCGCGGTTAAACATCGCCGTGCCCGCCTGGTGTGTGGGGGGGGAGTGTAAGGGGGGGGGGGGGGAGGAGGGGGGAAAGGGGGGGGCGATCGGGGGTGGGGAGCAAAGGGGGTGGGGGGAAAGCGGTGGGGGTGGGAGGGATTAAAGATGGGGGGAGGGGGGGTGGTGGGAGAGAGGAGGGGTTTAAGTTGGGAGTGTTCCACTCCTGTAGGGGGGTGGGGCTTAGCCGATGCTCGCCCCGCCCACCCACCCGCCCCGCCCACCCACCCACCCGCCCCGCCCACCCGCCCCGCCCCGCCCACCCACCCGCCCGCCCCACCCACCCGCCCGCCCCGCCCGCCTCGCCCCGCCCACCCGCCCCGCCCCGCCCACCCGCCCCGCCCACCCGCCCACCCGCCCGCCCCGCCCCGCCCCCACCTGGTGCACCACGTAGATGGCGTAGTCGAGCTGCTGCCGCTGCAGGAGTGGGTGCAGGCTGTTGAGGAGGTGGACGAGGTGGGCCTCGCGGCTGCGGTGCGGCACCAGCACGGCCACGCGCTGGCGCGCGGTGCACGTGGCCGGGCGCGAGTGGCCCCCGCGGGACACCGCCCGGTTGGAGGCCGCCACCTGGGGCAGCGTGAGGCCGCTCGGGAAGGACAGCTTCAGCTTGCCCACTGGGGGGAGGGAGAGGATCATGGGATACCGCTGAGAGGGGATGGGCAGAGAGGATCATGGGATACCGCTGAGAGGGGATGGGCAGAGAGGATCATGGGATATCGCTGAGAGGAGATGAACAGAGAGGATCATGGGATATCGCTGAGAGGGGATGGGCAGAGAGGATCATGGGATATTGTTGAGAGGAGCTAAACAGAGAGGATCATGGGATACTCCTGAGAGAGGATGAACAGAGAGGATCATGGGACATCGCTGAGAGGGGATGGGCAGAGAGGATCATGGGATACCGCTGAGAGGAGATGAACAGAGAGGATCATGGGATACCGCTGAGAGGAGATGCGCAGAGAGGATCATGGGATATTGCTGAGAGGAGATGGGCAGAGAGGATCATGGGATATCGCTGAGAGGAGATGAACAGAGAGGATCATGGGATACCGCTGAGAGGAGATGGGCAGAGAGGATCATGGGATACCGCTGAGAGGGGATGGGCAGAGAGGATCATGGGATATCGCTGAGAGGAGATGAACAGAGAGGATCATGGGATACCGCTGAGAGGAGATGATCAGAGAGGATCATGGGATATCGCTGAGAGGGGATGGGCAGAGAGGATCGTGGGATACCGCTGAGAGGGGATGGGCAGAGAGGATCATGGGATATCTCTGAGAGGGGATGGGCAGAGAGGATCGTGGGATATCGCTGAGAGGGGATGGGCAGAGAGGATCATGGGATACCGCTGAGAGGGGATGGGCAGAGAGGATCATGGGATATCGCTGAGAGGAGATGAACAGAGAGGATCATGGGATATCGCTGAGAGGGGATGGGCAGAGAGGATCGTGGGATACCGCTGAGAGGAGATGAGCAGAGAGGATCATGGGATATTGCTGAGAGGAGATGGGCAGAGAGGATCATGGGATATCGCTGAGAGGGGATGGGCAGAGAGGATCATGGGATATCGCTGAGAGGAAATGAGCAGAGAGGATCATGGGATACCGCTGAGAGGAGATGAGCAGAGAGGATCATGGGATACCGCTGAGAGGGGATGAACAGAGAGGATCATGGGATACCGCTGAGAGGAGATGAACAGAGAGGATCATGGGATATCGCTGAGAGGAGATGAGCGGAGAGGATCATGGGATATCGCTGAGAGGGGATGAACAGAGAGGATCATGGGATACCGCTGAGAGGGGATGAACAGAGAGGATCATGGGATACCGCTGAGAGGAGATGAAGAGAGAGGATCATGGGATACCGCTGAGAGGGGATGAGCGGAGAGGATCATGGGATATCTCTGAGAGGAGATGGGCAGAGAGGATCATGGGATATCGCTGAGAGGAGATGGGCAGAGAGGATCATGGGATACCGCTGAGAGGAGATGAACAGAGAGGATCATGGGATATCGCTGAGAGGGGATGGGCAGAGAGGATCATGGGATACCGCTGAGAGGGGATGGGCAGAGAGGATCATGGGATACCGCTGAGAGGGGATGAGCAGAGAGGATCATGGGATATCTCTGAGAGGGGATGGGCAGAGAGGATCATGGGATATCGCTGAGAGTGGATGGGCAGAGAGGATCATGGGATATCGCTGAGAGGGGATGAGCAGAGAGGATCATGGGATATCGCTGAGAGGGGATGGGCAGAGAGGATGATGGGATATCGCTGAGAGGGGATGAGCAGAGAGGATCATGGGATATCGCTGAGAGGAGATGGGCAGAGAAGATTATGGGATATCGCTGAGAGGAGATGGGCAGAGAGGATCATGGGATATCGCTGAGAGGAGATGGGCAGAGAGGATCATGGGATATCGCTGAGAGGGGATGAACAGAGAGGATCATGGGATATCGCTGAGAGGGGATGAGCAGAGAGGATCATGGGATACCGCTGAGAGGAGATGGGCAGAGAGGATCATGGGATATCGCTGAGAGGGGATGGGCAGAGAGGATCATGGGATATCGCTGAGAGGGGATGGGCAGAGAGGATCATGGGATATCGCTGAGAGGGGATGAACAGAGAGGATCATGGGATATCGCTGAGAGGGGATGGGTAGAGAGGATCATGGGATACCGCAGAGAGGAGGTGGTGGGTGGTGGGGTTGTGGGTGGTGGGGTGGGTTGGTGGGGTGGTGGTGGGTGGGGTGTGTGGGTGGGGTGTGTGGGTGGGGTGTGTGGGTGGGGTGTGTGGGTGGGGTGGTGGTGGGTTGGTGGGTGGGTGGGGTGTGTGGGTGGGGTGGTGGTGGGGTGGTGGGTTGGTGGGTGGGTGCGGTGTGTGGGGTGTGTGGGTGGGGTGTGTGGGTGGGGTGTGTGGGTGGGGTGTGTGGGTTGGTGGGTGGGTGGGGTGTGTGGGTGGGGGGGGTGTGTGGGTGGGGTGGGTGGGTGGGGTGTGTGGGTGGGGTGGCTGGGTGGGGTGTGTGGGTGGGGTGTGTGGGTGGGGTGTGTGGGTGGGGTGTGTGGGTGGGGTGTGTGGGTGGGGTGTGTGGGTGGGGTGTGTGGGTGGGGTGTGTGGGTGGGGTGGCTGGGTGGGGTGTGTGGGTGGGGTGTGTGGGTGGGGTGTGTGGGTGGGGTGTGTGGGTGGGGTGTGTGGGTGGGGTGTGTGGGTGGGGTGTGTGGGTGGTGGTGTGTGGGTGGGGTGTGTGGGTGGGGTGTGTGGGTGGGGTGTGTGGGTGGGGTGTGTGGGTGGTGGTGTGTGGGTGGGGTGTGTGGGTGGGGTGTGTGGGTGGGGTGTGTGGGTGGGGTGTGTGGGTGGGGTGTGTGGGTGGGGTGGGTGGGTGGGGTGTGTGGGTGGGGTGGGTGGGTGGGGTGTGTGGGTGGGGTGTGTGGGTGGGGTGTGTGGGTGGGGTGTTCGACTCACGTAAGTGTGGGGGGTTGCGTGGGCAGGGCGGTGCAGCCCCCGCCTGCCCCCCAGGGCCCCCCACCATGTAGTAGAGCCCAGCCACGGCCGTGGCCGCCCCCAGCGTGAGAACGAGGGCCAGGTGGCGTGCCCGTGGCACCGGCCCACACAGTCGGCCGTGGCCACAGCGCGCCATCATCACCGGGGGTGGTGGTGGCGGCGGTGGTGGTGGTGGTGGCGGTGGTGGTGGTGGTGGTGGCAGTGGTGGTGTTGGTGGTGGTGGTGGCGGCTAGACCTCACCCGTCACCGCCAGGGCCCCAGTGAGCTACGGGAAGGGAGGGGGGGAGGGAGAGACATGATGGCCGTGTACGTGTGGGCGCCGCGGTGGCTAGGAGATGTTAACTACCTCGCCTGGTGTACAGGAGGTCGTGGGTTTGATCACGACCCTGACACCTGCTGTGTATTTGGAGTTTGCGTGTCTCTCCCTCTCTCTCATCATCACGTTGGCTAGGAGATGTTGACTACCTCGCCTGGTGTACAGGAGGTCGTGGGTTCGATCCCGACCCTGACACCTGCTGTGTATTTGGAGTTTGCGTGTCTCCCTCTCTCTCATCATCACGGTGGCTAGGAGATGTTGACTACCTCGCCTGGTGTACAGGAGGTCGTGGGTTCCATCTCGACCCTGACGCCTGCTGCTGCTGCTGTATATTTGTAGTTTGCGTGTCTCTCTCTCTCTCTCCCTCTCCCCGTGGTAAACGTGTTCAGAGTATTTGACTGCCATGAACGTCCGCGCGTTGACGGCAAGCCGCCCCGTCGACCCATCATTTGTGATGGCCGATGCCAGCTCAGTGTGGGGGGCCTTTAGGCTGGCAACAATCAAAATAGCTTATTCGCAAGTTCAACAGCGAGTCAGCAGCAGCAGCAGCAGCACAAACCCACGGATCACAGCGCAATGGGAATCCTGCCTCAAGCCGCACGGGCGTTTAAATAACCTCGACGCGCTCCCACCCATCCACCCACCCACCCACCCCACCCCACCCACCCACCCCACCCCACCCACCCACCCACCCCATCCCACCCACCCCACCCCACCCACCCACCCACCCCACCCACCCATCCACCCACCCCACCCACCCATCCACCCATCCACCCACCCATCCACCCATCCACCCACCCAGCCATCCATCCACCCATCCACCCCACCCACCCATCCACCCCATCCACCCCACCCACCCACCCCGTAATATGAGAAGGAAAAGAGAGAAGGGGGTGGTGGTGGTGGAGTGGAGTGCCAAAAGTTTGCTGTTGTAACGTAACTCTCCCCACGCACGAACTGGACATCCGTGACAAAAAAGAGCTTCGCAGCTCATCAGATTGCTCCTGCAGTTTGCGGAAACATTCTGATTTGTGTGTGGGGGGGGGGGCGCTGTGCGTCGACTGGGCCCCTACGCCACGCACACAAAGACAATCTTCTTCTGTTGTTGTTGTTGTTGTTGCCGGGAGCGAGGCCCCCGCTGAGCTGCTAAGGAGATCTTTTTCGGGGGCGACCGTGGCCATCACAGCGGCTCGTCGTCATCGTCATCGTTGTCGTCATCGTCATCGTCGTCGTCGTCATCGTCATCGTCGTCATCATCGTCGTCATCGTCGTCGTCGTCGCATGTAAATGTCTGGCAGCCGTTGACGTGGAGGGGAAAAACTGTGGGGACCCGGGAGAAAAATCCACGCGGCCACGGGGAGAGAGAGAGAGAGACACAAACTACAAATACACAGCAGCAGCAGCAGGCGTCAGGGTCGGGATGGAACTCACGACTTCCTGTACACCAGGCGAGGTAGTTAACATCTCCTAGCCACCGTGATGATGATGAGAGATAGAACCCACGACCTCCTGTACACAAGGCGAGGTAGTTAACATCTCCTAGCCACCGTGATGATGATGAGAGATAGAACCCACGACCTCCTGTACACCAGGCGAGGTAGTTAACATCTCCAAGCCACCGTGGTGATGATGAGAGAGAGATAGAACCCACGACCTCCTGTACACCAGGCGAGGTAGTTAACATCTCCTAGCCACCGTGGTGATGATGAGAGAGAGATAGAACCCACGACCTCCTGTACACCAGGCGAGGTAGTTAACATCTCCTAGCCATCGTGATGATGATGAGAGAGAGAGAAAGAACCCACGACCTCCTGTACACCAGGCGAGGTAGTTAACATCTCCTAGCCACCGTGGCACCACAACAAGAGGGCACGGGACAGACCCAGCAGGTGGCACACGTCTTGACCAATTGAGACGACTGGCCGATGGACCACCCTTTGTGGTGGGCACACAGGGTGGTCCATAGTCTAGCCTATAGTAGTGTAGCACATGGTAGTAGTGTATAGTGTAGTGTATAGTGTAGTGTATAGTGTAGCCTATAGTAGTGTAGCACATAGTAGTGGTGTATAGTGTAGTGTATAGTGTAGTGTATAGTGTAGTCTATAGTAGTGTAGCACATGGTAGTAGTGTATAGTGTAGTGTATAGTGTAGTGTATAGTGTAGTCTATAGTAGTGTAGCACATAGTAGTAGTGTATAGTGTAGTGTATAGTGTAGTCTACAGTAGTGTAGCACATAGTAGTAGTGTATAGTGTAGTGTATAGTGTAGTCTATTGTGTAGTCTATAGTAGTGTAACACATAGTAGTAGTGTAGTCTACAGTAGTGTAGTACATAGTAGTAGTGTATAGTGTAGTGTATAGTAGTGTAGTGTATAGCAGTGTAGTGTATAGTAGTATAGTGTATAGTAGTGCAGTGTATAGTGTAGTGTATCGTAGTGTAGTGTAGTATATAGTAGTGTAGTGTATAGTGTAGTGTATAGTAGTGTAGTGTATAGTGTAGTATATAGTGTAGTGTATAGTAGTGTAGTGTATAGTGTAGTGTATAGTGTAGTGTATAGTAGTTCAGTGTATAGTGTAGTGTATAGTGTAGTATATAGTGAAGTGTATAGTAGTGTAGTGTACAGTGTAGTGTATAGTGTAGTATATAGTGTAGTATATAGTGTAGTGTATAGTAGTGTAGTGTATAGTGTAGTGTAGTGTATAGTGTAGTGTATAGTGTAGTGTATAGTGTAGTGTATAGTGTAGTGTATAGTGTAGTGTATAGTAGTGTATAGTTTAGTGTATAGTGTAGTGTATAGTGTAGTGTATAGTAGTGTAGTGTATAGTAGTGGTGTACAGTGTAGTGTATAGTGTAGTATATAGTGTAGTATATAGTGTAGTGTATAGTAGTGTAGTGTATAGTATAGTGTAGTGTATAGTGTAGTGTATAGTAGTGTATAGCGTAGTGTATAGTAGTGTATAGTGTAGTGTATAGTGTAGTGTATAGTGTAGTGTATAGTAGTGTATAGTGTAATGTATAGTAGTGTATAGTTTAGTGTATAGTGTAGTGTATAGTAGTCTAGTGTATAGTGTAGTGTATAGTAGTGTATAGTGTAATGTATAGTAGTGTATAGTAGTGTATAGTTTAATGTATAGTGTAGTGTATAGTGTAGTGTATAGTGTAGTGTATAGTGTAGTGTATAGTGTATGTATGAGGAACTGATTTCGCACGGTACACCGCCAACCGTGCTAATCGGAGGCAGCCCTCGGGCAAAGAGGTTCACTGGTGACATTACTTGCGCGCAGTTTGCAGACGCAAGCAGTTCTGGCAACAAAAAGACCACGTCAAAATAGTTGTTTTAATGTGTATATTTAATTATATATATGTGTGTGTGTGTGTTTATCCGCAATAAGTGGGGGGCTTGGCTTGGTGTGGGGGGACGGCGGTGAGGTGAGGCTGCCCGCGTAGACTCCGCACCTTTCAATAAGCACGACTGGCTACGTACGGTGCGAAAGAAGTTCAACATAGACTACACGATACACTACTATACACTATTGTACACTACTATACACTACACAATACACTACATTATACACTGCACTACTATACACTACTATACACTATTATACACTACTATACACTATTATACACTACACAATACACTACATTATACACTGCACTACTATACACTACTATACACTATTATACACTACTATACACTACACAATACACTACACGATGCACTACACTCTACACTACTATACACTACACTATACACTACTATGCACTACACTATACACTACACTATACACTACACTATACACTACACAATACACTACGCTATACACTACACTATACACTACACTGTACACTACACTATACACTACTATACACTACACTATACACTACACTATACACTACACTATACACTACTATACACTGCACTACTATACACTACACGATACACTACTATACACCACACTATACACTACTATACACTACACTATACACTACGATACACTGCACTACTATACACTACTATACACTACTATTCACTACTATACACTACTATTCACTACTATACACTACACTATACACTACTATACACTAATATGCACTACACTATACACTACAATACACTATACACAACTATACACTACACTATACACTACTATACACTATACACTACTATACACTGCACTACTATACACTACACTATACACTACACAATACACTACTATACACTGCACTACTATACACTACACTACTATACACTATACACTACTATACACTATACTACTATACACTGCACTACTATACACTACTATACACTATAATACACTACTATACACTATAATACACTACTATACACTACTATACACTGCACTACTATACACTACACATAACACTACTATACACTACTATACACTGCACTACTATACACTACTATACACTGCACTACTACTATACACTACTATACACTGCACTACTACTATACACTACACACTACTATACACTATAATACACTACTATACACTATAATACACTACTATACACTATTATACACTATAATACATTACTATACACTACTATACACTACACACAACACTACTATACACCACACTATACTACTATACACTACACTATACTACTATACACTACACTATACACTACTATACTATACACCGCACTGCTATACACTACACTATACACTACACTACTAAACACTATACTACTATACACGACACTACACTATACACTACACCATACACGACACTACTATACACTATACACACTACACCACTACACTAAATTGAAAACTAATTTCGTCAGATCTGCCTGGCTACGTACGGTGCGAACGACGTCCCCATCGTACGTCACACACACACACACACACCGTACGTTACACACACACACACCGTACGTCACACACACACACACACATCGTACGTCACACACACACACCGTACG